TATACTACTTATTTCAGTTAGTTGCCAATGCAACATTTCACTGTTTTTCATATATTATTATTTTATTATTATTATTATTTTTTAGCTTTATTTCAATTGACAAAAAAGTCTTCGTTTTAGCTCATCACAACAAGATTGGGTTGAGGCATTTAAAAACAAGTAAAGAGATATACAGTATCATGGATAAACTGTATTCTGCTTATACTTTTATTCTGTACTTCTACAGCATAAGCAGAATAAGCTGCAAAAGTGGATCTCTGACCATTAGCTGACAAGTGACCAAAATATACATAAAACCACTGTTAGCACACTACCTGTGTTCTTCTATTACTGAATCCAGTCAATCTGGATTCAAACACTAAATCTCTAGCATTTCCCTCATTTCATTTGATGGGAAGTGAGTTGGGACAGAAGTCTCTTCAGGAACAATCAGTCCCAATCCCACAGTAAGACGTGGTGCAATGCCTTTAGAAAGCCTGTCCTCGCAGCGACGCGTTCCTTACGCAGCCGTAACCCAGTTCAGATGAGCTGAACGGGTCTGATGAGGCGCAGGGAAACGGCTGATATTTCAGCGCTTGGGAATCAGACTCGACTCGCTTACGCGGGTCAAGTATTCCCAGCTTGGAAACCATGCTGTTGTCATGGCGACCTTGTTCTCTGAAACCTTCATCCGACTGTTTTGGATTAGGAACAGCCAGTGACTTCCACGGCATCTACTCGAGCAGCGCTAATGCAGTTCAGAGGAGATGCCCTACTTGGCTTTAGAAGGGACACACACACACACACACACACACACACTGGGATAAGTGCAGTAAACTTGAGTTATAAAAGAGGTAAATGACGACATCCAAACCGCTGACACATTCTGAATGGGTTGGTATACGGCCAACAGGCAGTTTTTAGACAAAGCAAATGGTGAGAAAACATAAAATGCTTGCAGGAGTCAAACACACACAGGGGCAAATATACCACGGGAAGTCATGTGAGCCAACAGTGATGTCACTTCCTCACGTCAGTTTCCATTCCAACAGCATCAACGAGTCCAAAGTTCTGTTACAAACCCTAAGATGCCCACTTAATAATAAAACAGTAAACCCTTCATATATATATAATGCACTATAAAATGATTTATCATGCATTAATTATGCCTTGTAATCCACTGTATGGTCTTTTGTAAGCACAATTATAATACTTATCTATTCATTTATTTTAAAAAAGTATAGATTAAAATACATGACAAATTTCAGATGTAATATTATAATGCATTTTAACTTGGGTTACAGTAATTTATGAAAAGATATAATGCATTATAATAAACATTATGAATACCTTTTATAATGCATTATTATTGGTAAAAAGCCCTTTTGTATAAAGTATTTTACTAAAAAAAAAAATCAAATTAAAACGTAATATAAAAATATTTAAAAATAAAAGTATATAGTGCATATTTAATATATTTACACATATGTATGTTTAATTTCCTATATATATATATATATATAGAGAGAGAGAGAGAGAGAGAGTACAATACAACAATTAAGTAGAGAGTACAATACAACAATTAAGTAGAGAATTATTCAAAATATATAGCTTAAATATATACTAAATATAATATATTATATTGTGTTAATATGAAATAAAATTATTGTATTTTTCCCAATTTAAAACATTTAATACCGATATACACTCACCGGCCACTTTATTAGGTACACCTGTCCAACTGCTCGTTAACACTTAATTTCTAAGCAGCCAATCACATGGCGGCAACTCAGTGCATTTAGGCATGTAGACATGGTCAAGACAATCTCCTGCAGTTCAAACCGAGCATCAGTATGGGGAAGAAAGGTGATTTGAGTGACTTTGAACGTGGCATGATTGTTGGTGCCAGAAGGGCTGGTCTGAGTATTTCAGAAACTGCTAATCTACTGGGATTTTCACGCACAACCATCTCTAGGGTTTACAGAGAATGGTCCGAAAAAGAAAAAACATCCAGTGAGCGGCAGTTCTGTGGGCGGAAATGCCTTGTTGATGCCAGAGGTCAGAGGAGAATGGCCAGACTGGTTCGAGCTGATAGAAGGGCAACAGTGACTCAAATAACCACCCGTTACAACCAAGGTGGGCAGAAGAGCATCTCTGAACGCACAGTACGTCGAACTTTGAGGCAGATGGGCTACAACAGCAGAAGACCCCACTGGGTACCACTCATCTCCACTACAAATAGGAAAAAGAGGCTACAATTTGCAAGAGCTCACCAAAATTGGACAGTTGAAGACTGGAAAAATGTTGCCTGGTCTGATGAGTCTCGATTTCTGTTGAGACATTCAGATGTTAGAGTCAGAATTTGGCGTAAACAGAATGAGAACATGGAACCATCATGCCTTGTTACCACTGTGCAGGCTGGTGGTGGTGGTGTAATGGTGTGGGGGATGTTTTCTTGGCACACTTTAGGCCCCTTAGTGCCAATTGGGCATCGTTTAAATGCCACGGCCTACCTGAGCATTGTTTCTGACCATGTCCATCCCTTTATGGCCACCATGTACCCATCCTCTGATGGCTACTTCCAGCAGGATAATGCACCATGGCACAAAGCTCGAATCATTTCAAATTGGTTTTCTTGAACATGACAATGAGTTCACTGTACTAAAATGGCCTCCACAGTCACCAGATCTCAACCCAATAGAGCATCTTTGGGATGTGGTGGAACGGGAGATTCGCATCATGGATGTGCAGCCGACAAATCTGCGGCAACTGTGTGATGCCATCATGTCAATATGGACCAAACTCCCTGAGGAATGCTTCCAGCACCTTGTTGAATCTATGCCACGAAGAATTGAGGCAGTTCTGAAGGCAAAAGGGGGTCCAACCCGTTACTAGCATGGGGTACCTAATAAAGTGGCCGGTGAGTGTATAACATAGTATATTCTCATTTCATGTGCTTAAGCTTAACTTTTATATATACACAATTTTAAATAATTGTTTACAATTAAAATAACAATTTAAAAGTAATAATTTTAATATTAATAATTTTAATAGTTAATTATTAATAGTAATTAATTTAATAGTTAAAAAAATTAAATATAACATTTTTAAATGTTAAACTTACATTTTGTATTTTATAAAAATACAATTATTTAATATTTAAAACATTTAATGGGAATGATCAATGGGAAAACGAATAGGATTGGAAGCATAAGTTCACTTCCTTCTGCCTTACTTTGAGCACATTCTGAGGCCTTTATCCTTCACAGAAAGGCAATCCCAGAATGCATTGTGACGGGCTCAGGGAAAAGTTTCATGCATGATGACAGAGAATCAAGGGAAGCGTGGAACAAATCTGAAAAAGTTGCTCTCTTCTGAAAACCTTTGATTCAGTTTAAGATATCTTTAAGATATTTTGTTTTTGTATATTCTACTTGTTAGCTCAACAACATACTAACACCAGTTTCTGCTGAAATCAATACATTTTTATGAACTGGACTGGACTTGATATATTGTTACACTTAGATAAATAATTCACCAGTCATGAAAATGCGATTATTATTCATGGTCATTTTTCTCCGTTCATCTGCCATGGCGGAGTAAAATAATGGTTGCATTATTAGCTTTTCTCGACATGCCATCTTAAACATGCAGCACTGATGTTGCAATGGTCAAAGACATCTGTCTAGTGCATATTTATCCTTTGTACCCTTAAAAGCAAACCAACTAGTCAGACAGTGGACACCTAGGCAGCGCACTAGGGTTTGAAACGCTGACTCAAAGACAGACACTCTCTATATCCAAGTCTGAAATCTTGGGCACAGATATTTCCACTCTATCCCGCTCTATTAATCAGACTTACAGCAGAGAGGATAGCGGTTCTTCTGGAAGAGGTGGACACGGCTCTCGGACACAGACAGCCTCTGAATGACATGATGAAACGCCACAAGAAAGGAGAAAGAAAGTCAGTTTGAGCCGAGTGTTTTACATAACGCTGTGACATCACTGCGCCTCTTCTGTACCCGTCAGCCCTCGGGACAGTCCTGACTTCTCACGACTCGAAGACTAAACACCGGCTAGTGTCGTCATCGAGCGCTTTATGAGCTGTTAAACTGTGTAAAACACACACACACGATGATATGAGCTCAACAGTGATCGAGCTTTTTTCAGCATCGCTGCTTCCGGAAGGGTTTCGCATTCATTTCTCCAATGGGATTTTAAAAAAATGCAATTTTCTGATATGATATTAACACTCTTGAGATGAATCAAAGCATTGCAAACTATGATTTTGAAGCAAAAACATTTTTAGAAATTAAAAAGGTAAACAAAATGCATTATTGCATTTGCAAATGGCAATTATTACAGAAAAGATGGTGCAATGGGCAAGTATAAACATTTTTTAAATGTTAAATATGGAATAATTATATATATATATATATATATATATATATATATAATTTAAATATTTTCATATTAATATATTAATTAATAATTGATATATTTTAATAATGCTAAATATTGTATATCATAATAATTTAGTATTGAATAAAAAAATACTAAAATTATACACACACACACATATATTCAATATTAAACTATTATGAAATACTATATATATATATATACATATATATATATATATTAAATTGTAAAATATATTTAAAAAATATATAAAAAAAGTATTCAGATGCATATATATATATATATATATATATATATATATGTATATAAAACAAATTACAATATGTTCATATTAAAAATATGAAAAAATATAAATGTTTTATATATAAAACATTTAATACGGATATATATTATATAATATAATACTACATGTACTTTCTACAGTAATAACATGCATAATTACAAGTAACTAACCTAAACCTAACCCTATAGTAAGTACGTAGTTAGTTAATATAACTTAACAACATCACCTCAAAATAAAGTGCAACCTAAAATAAAAAACTGGGTTGAGTTGATATCCGATCAGTGATACATGTAATATGTGTGTGTTTGTGTTGCAGCTGAGTTTCCAGCACAAAGTGGGCGTCCTGTACTGTAGAGCGGGGCAGAGCACAGAGGAGGAGATGTACAATAACGAGAACGCCGGGCCGGCGCTGGACGAGTTCCTGGATCTGCTCGGTCAGAGAGTCCGACTGAAGGGCTTCAGCAAGTATAGAGCACAGCTGGACAACAAGAGTATGTGTGAACCGTCTACATACAACAGTGCATTATATATTTATATTATATGTACAGTATATAATAGGGCTGGGCAACAATTAATCGCATCCAAAATAAAAGTTTGTATTTACATAATATGTGTGTGTACTGTGTATAATTATTTGTATATATAAATACACACACATGCATTTATATATTTAAGAACATTTTTATTTATACATAAAATATTTATATTTATATATAAAATAAATATATATACAGTATATACATGTAAATATTTCTTAAATATATGCATGTGTGTGTATTTATAAATAGAAAATAGTTATACACAGTACACACACATAATATATTATGTAAACACCAACTGATGGGTAGGTTTAGGGGTCGGGTTAGTGTGTGTGTGTGTGTGTGTGTGTGTGTGTGTGTGTGTGTGTGATGGGTAGGTTTAGGGGTCGGGTTAGTGTGTGTGTGTGTGTGTGTGTGTGTGTGTGTGTGTGTGTGTGTGTGTGAGAGTGATGGGTAGGTTTAGGGGTCGGGTTAGTGTGTGTGTTTGTGTGAGTGATGGGTAGGTTTAGGGGTCGGGTTAGTGTGTGTGTTTGTGTGAGTGATGGGTAGGTTTAGGGGTCGGGTTAGTGTGTGTGTTTGTGTGAGTGATGGGTAGGTTTAGGGGTCGGGTTAGTGTGTGTGTTTGTGTGAGTGATGGGTAGGTTTAGGGGTCGGGTTAGTGTGTGTGTTTGTGTGAGTGATGGGTAGGTTTAGGGGTCGGGTTAGTGTGTGTGTGTGTGTGTGTGTGTGTGAGAGTGATGGGTAGGTTTAGGGGTCGGGTTAGTGTGTGTGTTTGTGTGAGTGATGGGTAGGTTTAGGGGTCGGGTTAGTGTGTGTGTGTGTGTGTGTGTGAGTGATGGGTAGGTTTAGGGGTCGGGTTAGTGTGTGTGTGTGTGTGTGTGTGTGTGTGTGTGAGAGTGATGGGTAGGTTTAGGGGTCGGGTTAGTGTGTGTGTGTGTGAGAGTGATGGGTAGGTTTAGGGGTCGGGTTAGTGTGTGTGTTTGTGTGAGTGATGGGTAGGTTTAGGGGTCGGGTTAGTGTGTGTGTGTGTGTGTGTGTGTGTGTGTGTGTGTGTGAGAGTGATGGGTAGGTTTAGGGGTCGGGTTAGTGTGTGTGTTTGTGTGAGTGATGGGTAGGTTTAGGGGTCGGGTTAGTGTGTGTGTGTGTGTGTGTGTGAGTGATGGGTAGGTTTAGGGGTCGGGTTAGTGTGTGTGTGTGTGTGTGTGTGTGTGTGTGTGTGTGAGAGTGATGGGTAGGTTTAGGGGTCGGGTTAGTGTGTGTGTGTGTGAGAGTGATGGGTAGGTTTAGGGGTCGGGTTAGTGTGTGTGTTTGTGTGAGTGATGGGTAGGTTTAGGGGTCGGGTTAGTGTGTGTGTTTGTGTGAGTGATGGGTAGGTTTAGGGGTCGGGTTAGTGTAAGGGGACAGAATATACAGTTTGTACAGTATAAAAATCATTACATCTATGGAGAGTCCCCACAAAGATAGTGGACCAGACGTGTGTGTGTGTGTGTGTGTGTGTGTGTGTTTGTTTTTGTGATATATGAGGACACAAATGTGTATAATGACATGCATATTACACTGGTATTACAACTTACACGTGATATATGAGGACATTGCATGTGTCCTCATATTTCAAATAGCTTAAAAAACATAAAAAACAATGGGGTTTTTTTTATGTAAAAATGCAGCATGTCTCCTGTGATGGGTAGGTTTAGGGATAGGGGCAGTGTAGGGGGATAGAATATACAGTTTGTCCAGTATAAAAGTCATTACACCTATGGAATGTCCTCATATATCACAAAAACAAAGCTGTGTGCGTGTGTGTGTGTGTGTTTCTGATGGTGCATAAGCTGCAGCTGTGCTGACATCTCTCTTCAGATCATCAGTGTCTCACACTGAGACGTGAAACCAACCTTCACTCTTTAACCCAGAGATGCACATATGGCTGTGTGTGTTTCCTTACTAAGAGAAACTCACAGCTTAAGCCAGCCTGAGGTGGTTTGCTGGTCTGGTTTCCACTGGTCAGGCTGGTCTGGTTTGATCAGTTTAAACACTTCAGTCAGGCCAAGTTGTAAGACCAACTTTAAACTAGTCTTAACATAGATGATTTAGTTGAAATTGAAAGAGCGACTTTTGATGCAGAAGTTATGAGTTGAAAATTACAAAGCAATCATTAATGTTTATCATTATATGTCATCGGTTTCCAGAAAAGTAATTTCCAGTATTTGGATGTGGCTGGGGAGTGTATGTGTGTGTATATACTGTTGTCAGGACAGGGCAAGTAAAAACCAATTAAGTCAGCAGAGAAAAATGTGGAGTCCTGTTTCTGCTCTCTTTGTTCCCTTGTGTCTCAAACACAAGAAGTGTTGTTCGTCCTGTTGTTGACAACTGTCCTCCATTACAGCGGACTCGACCGGCACTCACTCGCTCTACACCACCTACAAGGACTATGAGCTGATGTTCCACGTGTCCACGCTTCTGCCCTACACACCCAACAACAGGCAGCAGGTGTGTGTGTCCTCCTCTTTATGCTAATGAGCTCTCTTGTGATTGGCTAATGTCTTCACATAGGGGTTCTGATTACCCTGATTTCTTTAATTGTGTGATAATGACTGGTACATTCCATGATATGTTCTCTATAACGACTAGTTAACTAATATCCATCCATCCATCCATCCATCCATCCATCCATCCATCCATCCATCCATCCATCCATCCATCCATCCATCCATCCATCCATCCATCCATCCATCCATCCATCCATCCATCCATCCATCCATCCATCCATCCATCCATCCATCCATCCATCCATCCATCCATCCATCCATCCATCCATCCATCCATCCATCCATCCATCCATCCATCCATCCATCCATCCATCCATCCATCCATCCATCCATCCATCCATCCATCCATCCATCCATCCATCCATCCATCCATCCATCCATCCATCCATCCATCCATAATATAGATTTTAATCTGACTGTAAAAGCATGTATAATTATGAATTATTATTATTATATTTTTTTTTTTTGAACAATGTTTATTGAGAGTTTTCGTCTCAGGTTTGAACATCTAATTATTTCTAACTCTTCTGAACTGTACGGTATGTTAGGATTTATTTTTTATTTTCTTTATTTTATATATTTCAAAAGTGTGTGCATATGCATTTTAAAGCATTTACATCTTTTTTGGGGAAGAAAACAAAATAATATGTGACAAAGCTGGAATTCAATGGAATTTTGTCACTTTTGTTAAAAATCCGGATTTGATCTCCAATTACAATTGCCAAATTTGGTAAATGCATTAAATGTAATCCCATTAGATATATTTGATATGTTTTTTTTTTAAATATCATAATAGGTTTATAGTCTATCAAATGCATAAACTTAGTAGTAGAGCCAGTCCAGCCGCATCACTGTCACTTGTGTGTCTCTGACAGTCGATTGGCAGGATTAGCAGATTTTCTGTCTTTTTCTTCTCCAACTTCAATTCTATTCGATTGTGCAGGATTAGCGAATAAATCCCTGGCCGTAAGCTTCCTGAAGACTCGAGCACAGTTCAGCCTCTCATCTTCTCATCCTCCCGTCTCACACATAATCCTGTTTGTAACCCTTGGCCACTCACAGGAAGGCAGGCACACAGTTAATATGACGTCCCTATAGAGCGGCTCAGGGTTAATAGAATATACGAAGTTCCTGACTCTGTCACCATTGAACGCTCTTATCCGACATCTTTGAGATATCAAGGCCGACTGTTCTAAAAACATTCCAGAATCAGATACTTATGCATGAGCTTAAGAGATTTTAAATAGTCTTCCCAGCATCTGCAGCGTCTTCTGTGTCATTTATGGCACCAAAATGACACCAGATGGCACATTGCTGGTGATTATTTGCATTTTTAACAAATATTTCTCTTATATTTTTTAATCTGTTTTTTAATTCTAAGTCTTTAAACCTCCTCAGACTGGAATCCTGAAATCCTTCCAGCAAAACGTATTACAAACAGGGTCCAATATGAACTTTTTGCCACACCTGCTAATTTTAGATGAAAATACATTTTATATATATATATAAAATGTATTTTCATCTAAAATTAGCAGGTGTGGCAAAAAGTTCATTTTTTCATGAGTCATTTTTTCAGGAGTCATATATACACACACATTTACAGGCTGTGAAATGGTATTATGCAATATTTTTAACAACATAAAATTAATATTATTGTTTATTTATTTATTTAACTAACTCTTATTTGGCAATTGGCAAGTGTTAATTTTGAACCCTAATTACAAAAAAGGATTAAAAATGTGTTTGTGTTCATCTGAGTTTCTTTTTGTACATATTGTTCTATGAACAACTGGATTGATATGTCATCTTTTTTCAGGGCTGATGTTTCACATTTCCTAAACCCTCACTTCCTGTTCATGATGGTGTTTGAACTGTTCTCTGAACATGGACACTGTAGAGTCCATTCACCTTTGTTTGTTCTCTTCTCTCACCAGTTGCTCAGAAAGAGGCACATAGGAAATGACATCGTCACCATCGTGTTTCAGGAGCCCGGTGCCTTGCCCTTCACACCCAAAAACATCCGGTCCCATTTCCAGCATGTGTTCGTCATCGTTAAAGTTCACAATCCGTGCACTGAGAATGTCTGCTACAGGCAAGTGAAGCGCACACATCTGTCTGAGAACCATGCCTTGGATTTACTTTCTGAATTATGATAGAATCTCTTACTTTTCTCTTTGAAGAGAAAAGTATCAAGGAAACTTTAAAATTACAGTTTTAACATGAAATGCTGGAATCAGTAATGTGTCTAAATGCTTGGCTTGCCTGTATTTTTGAATCTTCTTTTTAAAAGCAGTGTCAAAGGCTGTTTGAGTCATTTAATTATTGCAATTAAAGGATCAATTCTCTCACTCGTCCACATGCCGTTCCAAACAGCTTTCTCTCATCCATGGCACACAAACAGAAATTATAAAGAAGGTTTGAGTTCTTTCCCATGTAATGAACCTGCAGTAACCAGTGTCTAAGGCCCAAAAAGGGGTAAAACATGTAAAAGTAATATAATAAAATAAATAATATATGATAATTTAATAAAAATCTCCTATTATAAGTCTTCTGAAGTCATGGGCTACTGTAGCTTTGCGCGAGGAACAATAGTTAAAGTTGATTTTAAGTTGTTATTCACTGATAATCTTCCCTCCCGTCCTGTGTTTTTATTGTTAACTAGAGCTAAAACTATTAAAATTAATACAATTTTATATAAAATAAAATATAAATATTACATGAAAAACTTTAAAAACCTAGAAATGTTGAATGTCTTGAACTTTTTGCCACACCTTCTAACATTAGATGGAAATAAAATTATAATAAATATTTTTTACAGGCTGTGGAAATGTATTTAGCAGTATTTTTTGTAACATAAGATGTATTATTATTATTATTATTATTTAAAAATATATTTATTTATTTTACTCTTATTTGGCACTTGGCAAGGATTAAAAATATCATTTGTTCTATTTTTTTTATTCATTGGAGTTGCTTTTAGTACATATTAACTGCATTGAACTGGATTGATGTCATCTTTTTGGGGGGGCAAAACCCTTATTTAAAGCAATTTGTTACATGAAACTAATAAAAATGACAAAAGCACAACATAATTTCTGAACCTGAAATTTATTTAAATATAAATATTAGATGAAAAATGTTAACTTAATGTTAATTTAGAAATGTTTCCTTGGCAACTATCTGAAATAAGTTAAAGTTGAAGCACTAAAATCACTAAAACTACAACTGAAATATATATAAATATATCGATTTAAAATATAGATAAATACAGACATGTTTAAAAATAATAATGCACATGACAAATCACATAACAAAATTACCAAAACTTAACCTTAAATTAAAATGAAAACAGAATCTAATATAACTGAATATAAAAATAAATGCTTTCAGCATAAAAAAAAACGTGCAGCATAAAAGTGAAAATTTGAATATGTAAATAACAATATATATTTCAATCGGTTGTATGACTTGAGAAAATGAAATTTAAGTCATATGGACTACTTTAATGTTGTGTTATTTTTGGAGTCAGTCCATGTTCACTGAAAGATCTGCATGAACTTTCTTCTTTGTGTTCCACGGAAGATAGAAATGATGAGTTTTGCTATCTCTTTTAAATGTTTTTGTATCCGTGAAGTGCATCTTGAGTCATGTTGAACTGCATTAGCTACACCACACACTCTAATCTCTCTTTGCAGTGTTGCAGTTTCCAGATCGAAAGACGTGCCTCCGTTCGGCCCTCCCATTCCCAAAGCCGTGACCTTTCCCAAGTCCGCCGTCTTCAGGGACTTCCTGCTGGCTAAGGTGATCAACGGGGAGAACGCGGCGCACAAATCCGAGAAGTTTCGTGCCATGGCGACCCGCACGCGGCAGGAGTATCTCAAGGACCTCGCGGAGAACTTCGTGAGCACGACGACGGTGGACTCTGCGGTGAAGTTCAGCTTCATCACGCTGGGGGCCAAGAAGAAGGAGCGCGTGAAGCCGCGGAAGGACGCGCATCTGCACAGCGTGGGGGCCGTCACCTGGAGCGTCGTGGCACGGGACTTCGGGCAGTCTGCGGATGTGGAGTGCCTGCTGGGGATCTCCAACGAGTTCATCGTGCTGATCGAGGAGGAGTCCAAGAATGTGATTTTTAACTGCTCCTGTCGGGATGTCATTGGGTGGTCTTCCGGCGTCATGAGCATCAAGATCTTCTATGAACGCGGAGAGTGCGTGATGTTTTCCGCGCACGACAACTGTGGAGAGGACATTAGAGAGATCGTACAAAGACTTGAGGTAAGAGCAGTCTTCTTCTTTAACTACTCGCTTTTACGGTAAATGCATATTGCCCACAAGGTTTCCCTAGGTATAATTACTTCATTTTATGAGGTATTGCATTTGGATATATATTTAGACACTACTTTCTGTCACACTTTGGATTTTTTACAGTGTTTCCCCTACCATTGTTTTGGGGGGGCGGCCCGCCAAATTGCTGACGAAATCCAGTCATAAAAAATAAATTTACTGTATAACGTGGAATTTCATGGAATTTGTCAATCTTTTGAGGAATAAATAGAAAGCAGTTCAGTGTACACTTGAAATCAAATCGCGATGTAGACTAGTGTGTGTGGATATTAAACCACAAAGACAATTTAAATACGAATCCTGCTTGTTCTGTGTAAATGGTGAGGCAGGCCGACGCGCAGTTTCATTTAACGTACCACACACACACACACACTGAAGCACGTGTGCCGCTTGCGCTGTTTTTTTGCCTATATGAAGACACAAATGCATGAACTTCCTCTCCAGGCTCTAGATCCACTCCGAAAGTCACTTCGTGATCATTTAACCGCTTCATTTGAGAAAAACTATCATTATGACATAAACACACAAACTCAAAAGGTCTTCACGGCAACCCGTCAAAATAAAAGTTCGGTTTAACTTGACAGAAATATATTACCGTTGTACAGTAGAATTTAGATATGTCCCAATGTAATAATACTAACACTAATCCAAATAAATTATCATCAAAACTGATTTTTTTAGGAATAATCCATGTTTTAATTTTAACAGTAAAGCTCATTGTGCAGCATGTTATTTGACAAAAAGTTTATTTAATTTCATATGATTTAAAATTGATGATAAATGATAAAATTTGTGTTTTATGTCTTCATTTTATTACCAGAAAAAACACAACACAGAATTAGTGTGAATTTTTTTTCATATTATTTTTTTAAATGTTGTATACGTTTAATGATTCATAATACACTATTTCAATTAATTAGACATGCTTTTTGATTGCTAAAAAATGTACACCACGTAACTGTTTTACATTTATTTACCTTTCATGTAGAGTGTTATATAGCTGTTTAAGCTCTGCAAAGTTTCAAAGATCACTAATTCTGTCGTCAGTAATTCCATTCTTACTTCCAGCACAAACCTATGTATGTTTGTAACACGTTTGCATAATGCCAGCCTATGGTTTTCATTTGCTGTCCGCGAACAAGATCTGCTTTGCCCCACTCTTAAAGAGCACATTGCAGGTAAAAAAAAAATCTAAATTAATATATAACCTTGTATGAAAATACCATATGAAAAGTTAATGCAGGATTAAAAATGTTTTAAAACGACATAAGGGCACTAAGGCCCCGTCCACACTACTGCGTTTTCGTTTAAAAACGGAGACCTTTTGCTACGTTTGCACCTCCCGTCCACACTAAAACGGCAAAAACGGAGACCCAAAACGGAGAAGTTTAGAAACGCTGCCGATCCGTTTTTCGTTTTGAATCTCCGGAGGGCGTTTTAGTGTAGACGGGTCAAAGCGGAGGAGTTTAGAAACGATGACGTAGTAGAGGCTCACGCTCGGCTCTATGATTGGGTGTCATCAGTCATGGCGTATATCTTTGCTAGCAGCTGTTGTACAAGTAAATTCTGCATTTTACAACGCTATAACTGCCGGAGTCAAGCTATTATTCGAGCGATCTGTGACAATTCCCGTGTGCAGCGGCGGCGTTGACCGTACATGGAGTGTCGGTTTGGGGTTAACCCAGAGCATGGTGGGATAATAATATCAATGAAGTTGTGTTTACACCGGCACGCGCATGCCCAGTGTTGGTGAATGGTCACGTGATCCGCGTTTTCAGTCGTTTTAATGTGGACGGAGATCAATTCTAATACGCAGCTAAAACGCTGGTGTGGACGGAGATCGTATTCGTTTTAATTATCCGTTTCTAAACTAAAACGCAGTAGTGTGGATGGGGCCTAATTTAGTAGATAAAGTGAGCGTTTCTTTGACTGCTCGTAAAAAACACTTCTTTTTTTTTTTCAACATCGCGCCATTTTACGTCACGTCAGGGAGCCTCAGGCCCCATCCACACTACTGCGTTTTAGTTTAGAAACGGAGAGTTAAAACGAATACGATCTCCGTCCACACCAGCGTTTTAGCTGCGTATTAGAATTGATCTCCGTCCACATTAAAACGACTGAAAACGCGGATCACGTGACCATTCACCAACACTGGGCATGCGCGTGCCGGTGTAAACACAACTTCATTGATAAAATTACCCACCATGCTCTGGGTTAACCCCAAACCGCCGCTCCATGTACGGTCAACGCCGCCGCTGCACACGGGAAATGTCACAGATCGCTCGAATAATAGCTTGACTCCGGCAGTTATAGCGTTGTAAAATGCAGAATTTACTTGTACAACAGCTGCTAGCAAAGAAATACGCCATGACTGATGACACCCAATCATAGAGCCGAGCGTGAGCCTCTACTACGTCATCGTTTCTAAACTCCTCCGCTTTGACCCGTCTACACTAAAACGCCCTCCGGAGATTCAAAACGAAAAACGGATCGGCAGCGTTTCTAAACTTCTCCGTTTTGGGTCTCCGTTTTTGCCGTTTTAGTGTGGACGGGAGGTGCAAACGTAGCAAAAGGTCTCCGTTTTTAAACGAAAACGCAGTAGTGTGGACGGGCCTCGGCCTCGGCTCAGTGCAGAGTAGGCTGGTGTGAGTCAGTGTGTTTTCGGTAGTTTTTGTATTTTAATTTGTCATCGTCATGGTAAATTATTATTGTGTTTGTGGAGGTTGCAAAAACTCCGGCCAGTCAGGACATCGAGTCCACAGGTTTCCTAACAAGAAAAAGGACGGTGCTGTATATCTTTCGTGCCTGGTGCGGTTTGTGCAGGTGAAGAGACGGGATTTCTCTTCCCCATCGACTCCAGAAGCCTCTGTAGCGTATTTATAAGTATATTTGAAAGAAAAGCTAGTTCCTACATTATTTTTCTATACATTGACTCGTTGGGTCCTCCAACCCATCGGTTCCCAACAAGGGGGTCGCGGCCCACAAGGGGGCCTCAGTGAGCTCTATGGGGGGTCGCGTCATATTTTGAAAGGTTTGAGCAATGAGCATTAAATAAAAGTCCTTAACTTTTTTCTGTTCAAAATTTACAAAATGTATATAATGAGCGAGTTCATCATGAATCCATTTTTCAATCCGTGTTTTTGTCTTATCCTGAACCACTATGGTACACCTATAATAAGTGTTTACATTGGGACTATTTTACACTGGTTCGGATCGCTGCCGCTGCGGAGTAGCCCAGCGCCTGCGTGACTCGTTATAGACGCACACAGAGAGAAGTAGTTCCGGCTACAAGGTTCTTCCGAAAGACGCATTATTCTGTTAATAAACGCAAATGTATTATCGTTCGCTATAGCGCCAAAAGCGTAAAAAATAAAGCCTCACATTGATAAAGCCTCACAAATAACATGCAAGTATTGAGGCCCCAGACAGCAGTCATTTAGTAATAGCCTATATTCTTTCTTTTTTTTTTAACTATACACCAGTGTGAATATTTTAGGTTTTGCATTTCAAATAGGGCCAATATATAGGCTTCTCCTAGGCTTACGTTTTTAAATTACAAAGGGCCTACTGATGTTTTTGTTATTTTCAATATTATAGGCTATTATTTGTGCATAAACATATTTGGTTATAGTAAACGTACCGTTTGTTTGAAAACAATATATTTTGTCATCCTTGCTGCAAGCTTACAAGAGCGATAATATCATTAAATGTGAAGGGGGACCCTACAATATTTTTTTGAGAAAAAGGGGGTCTCAGACAAAAAAAGGTTGGGAACCATTGCTCTAACCTGCAATATGCCCTTTAAACACTGTAGTTCTTTGTATGTGGATTACTCGGTTGTATGATTTTTCTGTTGACGATTTGACATGAGCTTGTAGAAAAAAGTCTAAGTTCAAACCTGCTTATTTCATGTAAACAAGATTTGACTGCGTCTTTTTAAAAGTGAAAGTCTGTCCCAACCATTGCTACTTTCAATTACATTACATAGTTAATATGAACTGTGGATTCATTTGAATGGTGACGGCCATTATACGGGTGGCTTGATGCAGTGCAGGAAATAATAATAATAAATAATAATAATAATAATAATGCAACGTAAAAAAAAAAGTCTGCTGTGCCAATTCGAAAAATTGTATTGACCATTAAAGGGATAGTTCATCCAAAACTGAAAATTGTCATAATTTACTCAACCTCAAGTTGTTCCAAACCTGTATGAGTTTCTTTCTTCTGCTGAACACAAAAGAAGATGCAAGGTGAGTAAATTATGACAATTTTATTACCTTAATATATATTATGAATTTCGGGAAAGCTGCTTAGAAACGGTGTAATATGACAAATAAAATCTTACAGACTTCAAACGCTTGAACAGTAGTGCATGTTTAATTTAAGGATTTAAACTAGCAACCAAAACTCCCATGATGCTCTATTCCTGTTCATCTTTTTAATGTGTCTTCAGGATACTTTCATTCAGATGTCTATCTTCTCATCTCGGTCCTTTCCCTTTTACCAAAACCCGATCGGGTTGAATGAAAACACGCTAATTCTTCTCTTCTCTCGTCTGGAGAAGTGAGTGCTTCCAGTTGTGGTGTTTTATCTTGGGTAACGGTCTAATTATTCCTTAAATGACTATTCTTTGGGGAAATTCAGGCTTAGTGTGTTATCAGAAAGTATCTGTAATTAAACATTTCCGTCTTCTTCCTGTACATATGTTCACGACTACCTGTGAAGAACCGGGCCTGATGAAATCTGTGGCTTCTGAAGCATCATAATCTTCTTACAAGATTTCTCTGGAGTAATATCGATGGCCAGCGTGTTTGACCGGTGCGGGTCTAGTGTTACTCTTGGCGGTGGTCCTGATCTATGTTCTTGGCTCTTGTCAATGCCCAGGCCAGTTAAACTCACTCGGGTCTGGTAGTATTTGGCTTTCAGAT